GGAAGAGAGACATGTTCAATCCTGGGGTGGGGGGAGAGGGAAGCTGCTCTATCCCAAGGCGGGGGAGGGGGAAAGCCGCTTGATCCCGAGGCTACTCATCTTGCCCTAGGCAGTTCCAGACCAGTATGTCAGTCTTACTGGCAAAGACCAACTATAACCATAAACTGTATTGGTGTTTTTAACTTAAGTAGAGATCAGATTTCTTTTAGACAGACTATAGTTTTAGAACGGGCAATATCTGGCACCATTTTTATGCTTTTTTTAAGACAGGGTGAAGTTGCTCAGATATTTCAGTTCTAAAACTTCCAAAACGTTATAAAACTAAATATTCTTACCACATCTGAATTGAGTAAAGAACGCTGTTCAATGGAAGTAGCTCCAGAAATATGGGCTAGTGCTGCAGCCAGGGCTTCAACTGCTCCCTTTTCTTCTATTAGCCATCGAGCAGACTCTTTGAAATAGTCAATGGCCGTTTGAGGAACAGAATCCAGACACCTAAAGCAAGAATGTTACTTATCAGGAGGCAAGAGACAAATTTAAAACACTGAAATACTGGGGCTCCGTAACAGAAGAAAAAAATTCAAGGGGATCCAAACTTGATTAGATGGAGATCAATGAATAATTTATATCCAAGAAGTCAAATGGCAAAGGAGGATGATCCATTACCACTGAACATACCTGATTGCATCTTTGCTGGAAGCCTTTATTATATCTGTTGCAGTGGGAACCCCCACACGCTTAAAAGTAATTCCCTAAAATTAACAAAAAAAAAAAAAAGGAAAGAAGGGAGTTACATGATCCAATTTATTTATTAAAAGGACTGACTCAATGTATATGCTACCCTCAACACAAGTTCAGGGCAACTTACAATAAGAGAACAGAACAAATTTACAAAATAGAAAAATGACAAGAGAACAAAACAACTTTAAAAGCCCAACTAGTGCTGAAATTCAAACTTTCATCTTCCCAAGTAAAAAAACCTGGAATATTCAATCCATTTCAGAGTTTTCCATTACCAGGCCAGAGTACCATCATTAAAAAAAGGAGTTAGTAGGGCTTATTATAAAATTGGGGTTTTTTTTGGTATATTCCTTAAAGTATTTCAAACTTTATTTAAGGGGACCCTTAAAAAGCGGCAGAATTAAATACTTAAAAGGCAAGAAATAATATTAATGAATTATTATTCACTGTGTATTTTACTTGCAACCCAGCTGGCCCAAACTTGACCAGTCAGTTTCATTCTTTCCAAGCAGTTAATTAATTGCACATAAGGGCATAGAAGAATGCTGCAGCATTTAGTACTCAAGTCACTACCGGAGTCCCCATAATTATTTAAAAGAATGTTTGTTTGTTTTTATTGTAATTCTATTAAAATTATGCTTCAATAAAGCTTATTTATAAAATGTGCATTTTGAGCCTGTGTATTTATTTTATCAAGTAATGTGGCATGCAGAAATTCTAAAGCTTTTTTATTACATGGGAAACCATGTTTCCCATTTGCAGAAGCACACCCAGAATTGTGCCTCAGGAAACAAGGAAACTTTCGTAGGTGCTTCTCAGGGTTCCAGGGACCCAATCCTGCAGAGGAATCCCCAAGATGTGCAGGATCAGGTCCCCTGAAGCCCTGGAAGCGCCTGCACTGGGTGTCTGAAAAGCTGGCTGCCCACGTATTCCTGCCTTAAAAATCAGATATCTGCCACAAAACAACAGCACAAATGTATACTACTTTTTTGCAGCCACAAATTCGGGCATTTGTGGCAACATGACAAAGGGCATAGATGTCTGTTAGGTTTTGCTTTGTGCTGCCATAAAAATGTTCATGGTAGTATAAAGGCAATACCAGTCTGAACCTTAGAAATACTGGCTATGGCAAGGGTGTGGGGAAGGGAGGAGAAGAAGAAGAGTGGCTGTGGAAAAGAGGCATTCAAAAATTTGACTTTTACTTTTTAAAACAAGGCTAGCAATAGTTACTGAATCCATAATCTGGTTTACCAGTAATTGAACCCTGCTTCTCCCCTCCCCCCCCAATACAAAACCAAGTGTTTTCCTGTAAATACCATGGGGGGGGGGGGGGGGGCAGGGGTGGGGGGGGGAGCAGGGATGGGGGGCAGTGTTTTTAAAGTCTGTTCAGGAATGATACTCACTTCCTGTTCCTAGATATGCAGACAGGCAATACAGAGCTATGTAGTATTGGCGCACAAATTTCAACTCCTTTTAATGGCCAATAGAAAGTTGTTTTGATATTAATTTCATATTTTCTACCTAACTACATGCTTTGCCCAATGCAAGTACAGTAAATTGCCACAGGCCTTTATAGGGAATGATAGCATCTAAATCTAACAAATACAATGGATCAAAAGTAAAAGTAACCCACTGAAATGTAAGGGCCTATGACATGCAGATCAAAACAAAATGATCTTTTGGCCTTACACTTAATAAATCTATTACTCTCTTTTGACATTGTTTTGAAAATAATCCTCTCCTCCCCCCCAAGCAGAAAACAATAAGTAGGAGTGGGGACCAAGCTTAAAAATATACTTTAATAAAGTATATGCCATTACACAGCCTTTATAAAGAACATTGAAAGTGTTTCACCCTTAGTGTCCTAAATTTTATGGGCTTGAAAGCAAATTGTAACTAATGTTTTCTCACTGATTATTAAGCCTATCTTATAGAAGGCCACGTACTAATTGCACAAATGGTTTTGACAACATTATTCTAGTTAAAAAAAAGATGACAATTCAACTTTAACTGAAAGGAAACTTATCACCATATCCTTTATGACAACTCAGTTAGTACATTGTTATGTATTAGGGTAGCTTGCAAAACCCTTACATTACTAAGTATTCATGACTAAAAGAAAACCATGCTGTACCGCTTTCTGTTCCACATATCTGAGTTGATATTCTTCCTTCGGCTGATAAAAGCAAATGCAAATCCCAGTCCGTCCAGCTCGACCTGTCCGTCCTGAACGATGAATATAGGACTCTACATCCTTAAAAATAAAAGCAAAAAATAAGAAGTATTTGATTCAGTTGTTACTGCGGTAAAGTTTCACAGACCCTATTATAATATTACTTGGGTGTAATATACTGTCTGAAAATTATTTTAAATTATTTATTTAAAACAAGTTATCAGAATTCCTCCTAAAACCTCTATGAAATAATGCTTAGAGATGATGTGACATACCTGTGTTAACAAGGTACCACTACTACTCCAGTTTCAGCATAAGGCAACCAAATGTACAGATTTGCTGCCGTATCTTTATGCAAACTTAAGTGTTGCAAACATTACATGCTTATCACAATGCAATAAATTCTCAAAGGAGTAACCATGTTCTTGACAGAACTCAATACACCCTTCTCTTTGTATCCTCCTGAATTTCTCTAGCCCTTTCCACTGGGCTCTCCTTCCCATCCAACTGCAGCACCAGTCATTCTACTCTACAGTTTTCCCAAATCCCTTCCAAAGTATCACCATTCATTGCTTTGGGGAGAAGTGTAATGCAGAGGGTCCAGACAGAGTGACTGGTAAGAGCAGCAGTCTGAGAAGAGGATTTCCCGGCATCTACTTCTGATGCATTCTAAGTTGCATGAAAGACCATCTCTGGTAAACAGAAGCTTCCTTACAACCAACTGTAACACTAGCAAGTTTAATAGGACTTAGTTTTCATGTAATAAAGTAACAAATTGAAAAACTGCATTACAAAAGATACACAACATATCCATCTTTTACCTTCGGTGGCGAACCTTGTACAACCAGGTCAACTTCAGGAATATCTAAGCCACGAGCAGCCACATTGGTTGCAACAAGAACTTTAAACGCACCATTTCTAAAGCCTTTCAATGTTATCTCCCTTTGTTTCTGAGGAATGTCACCATGCAATGACTGGCAATCCTGTAAAACAATATGACACCATTCAGAAAGGCAGTAAGAAACAGTTTTGTGCATCATGCTACAGGAAGAATACTGAAGAACTGAAATGTTTTAGATTTATTACAAAAATGTTATACTTCCAAAATATAACTTCTACATAGTGCTTTAATTCGCATATCTCAGCACTTTACAAAAATGGGGAAGCATTATCCCCAAATTTCCAGTGAAGCTGAAACAAGACACACTGTACCACTGCCAGACTTGAAAACAGAACCCATATCCCAGCTTCCAGCCCAGTGCCCTAGCAGTAAATGTTGCTTCTCAAAACAAACCCCATCTCTAATACCATGCTATCCACACTATTATACTACCACTGTCACTTAACTTCCTTTTGCAAGATGCACATAACCATCTGTCCCATTCAGAAGCAGGATAAATGTAAGTTTTAAAGGATCAAAATGGAAATTATTTTTAAGAGCTTAAATAGATACTTAAAAACCCCAATCATAAGCCGGAAAAAAATTCTCTCATTATAAACTCTCAAAATTAATACAAGTTCCATATTAGAAAGAGATTCTCTTCTTCCTAAAACAATGTCAAATGCACATGCAGTCAGTTTCCATTTCGTCTTTCACCTAGGAGCAGATGCAGCTGATTATAGTCACAACCAGAAGGCTCAAAAAAAGGCACAGGACTCCCTTCCCCGCTCTATCCCCCATTTTTTTTTGGCTATGCTTTAAAGCAGGAGTGTTTTACACAGAAGGCCTATATGCTGGAGCCAGGCCATGGAGCCACTCTCTCCAGCCAGCTGGACTATTTGTGTTGTCAGGGTGAAGTGGCCTGCTGCAGAGCAAGGACTGGTTGCCCTCTGGCTGCTTTCCCAGTTGTAACTACCCCAGACCCACCCCCCTGGCCACTAGCCCCTGTGCTGTGCCTGA